AAGGGTCCTTAGAACCCAGAATGCCAGGGATGGAAGGGTCCTTAGAAAGCAGAATGCCAGGGATGGAAGGGTCTTTAGAATGCAGAATGCCAGGGATGGAAGGGTCCTTAGAACGCAGAATGCCAGGGATGGAAGGGTCCTTAGAACGCAGAATGCCAGAGATGGAAGGATTCTTAGTACAATGTCGAAGCTGGAAGGGATATGAGTCAGTGGCAGAGCTAGCACATGAACTTGAGTCTCCTGGTTCTCCTTCTAAGGCTCTTCTGTGGCATCGTTATTGCAGGTCTGTCTACGTGCAGCACCAGGTGCTTGGCCTTGTTCTAATCCCCGCTTTTCTTTATGGGCCTTCAAGAGGCCCCTGCCCTTGGAGAACGCTCGCTCTGGCTGGCCAGATTAGAATGACACCCATGGAGCGCTCAAAGATAGCATAGGATGTGATCAGCTGTGAATCCAAGGCCCAGACTCCTAGGGGCATCTGAGGATGACGTAGAATCCATGCTTGCTGAATAATAGAGACAACAATGCTAGATACAAATGACACTTTGCTTTACGGTTTACAGAGCACTTTCCTAGCCGTTCTCTGCCTGCAAAACAGGTACGATAATGTGTGTGGAACTCACGGGGTAGCTTTGGGGAAAATGTTTTGCAAGCCTTTTAGAAATGTGAACTGGCTCATTATTGTGATCAGAAAGGCAGCATGATGTAGTGAATGAGGTCCAGGTTCAAGTCCTGCCTTTGGCAGTTGATACTGGCTGTGTGACCCCTGGGCGAGTCATTAAACAGCTTACTACTTCCAACCAACTCTCTAAGAGCATATATCATAAATGATTTGTTCAACTCTATGGAGGGAATTTCTCATTGGGAGATCCCTATACCAGTATAGTAGGTAGAGTAGACATGGAATCAGAAAACCTGGGTTTGAATCCCACCTTAGAAAGTTACTTACCACCTACGTGACCCTAGGCAAGTCACTTAACCTTTCTAGGCCTCAGTTTCCTCATCTGTAAAGTTAAAGGAGTTAAACTCCTTTAAAATCTCTTTGAATTCTAAATCTATGATCCTATGAAATTGAGGTTTGCTAACTGTAAGTACATACGTGTGTGTGTATATGTATGTATGTATGTATGTGTGTATGTATATCTTCAAAAGAGCTGCAGAAAGTATGCAGATGAGGAATTTGAAGTTCAGGATTTGCCCAAGGGTGTAAAATTATTAAGACTCAAAGCTGGGACCTAAGCCCGTGTCCTGGAGTCTGACTTCGGCTCTAGCGCCCTTTCTGATACCCTAAGAGGCTTCGTTGAGTACAGCCAGCCCCGCCATCTTTGTCTCTGGTGTCCCCAGGAGACCTACCAGCCCATAATGCTCCAGTATTCTCTCCCCTTCACTAGGTGGGCATGGAGGTCCTGTGCCACAGCCGGGGGCTCCTGCAGATTCCTGCAGTCCTCCACGCAGACAGCAAGGCCCTTGACCTGTCTCAGAACCAGCTGCACAGCATCCTGGAGACTCCATTGATCTTTTACACTGCCCTCCAACGTCTAGACTTAAGCTCCAACCAGATCAGCTTCATCCAGCCTGGAGTCTTTGCCAGTCTGTCTCAGCTCGAGTACCTCAACCTGGCCCGAAACCTCTTGGGACGGGCATCCCCACACAATGTCAATGGGGGCATCGGGCGCCTGCCTCGAGTGACCACCCTGGACCTCTCAGGCAACGGCTTATACAATAGCCTGGCTGAGGCCTTCCTGAAGGATGCCCCTGGCCTGCTCACTCTCTCCTTGGCAGAGAATAGCCTCACCCGAATCTCCCGCTGGACCCTACAGGGAGTCCCCGCCCTTAAAGAACTGGACCTGCATAGCAACGTCATCATGGAGATCGAGGAGGGAGCCTTCGATGCCCTGCCCCACCTTGCCCGCCTCAACCTCTCTATGAACTCCATCACCTGCATTTCTGACTTCAGCCTCCCCCAGCTGCGATTCTTGGATCTGAGCCGCAACAGCATAGAGACCTTCCAGACAGACACCACGGACCAGGAGTACCAGCTGTACTGGCTTGACTTGAGAGAGAACAAACTGTCGCAGTTCCCCGACCTGCCCAGGCGCAACCAGCTCATTTACCTGAATGTATCCAACAATCTGATCCAGATGCACTCCCCTTCTTCCTTCAGTGATGGGGTCCCCAGGATGAAGGATTGGCCCAGTGAACCCCATCTGGCCCCTGACCCAAGTGGGAATGATAGCTCCATGGCCCTCTCCCACCTCTTGTTCTTAGACCTAAGCTATAATGAGATTGAGACCATCCCAAAAGGATTCTTGGACCCCATGACTTCCCTGCAGTTCCTCAACCTCAGCAGAAATTGCCTCCGCACCTTCGAGGTGCAGGGAGAGCGCTCCCTGCCCAGACTGGACATCCTGGATTTGAGCCACAATGACCTTCAGGGTTTCACAGTGGGCATCCATGGTCTAGCCAGCCTACAGCAGCTCTACTTACAGCACAATGCTCTGGCAGCCTTACCGCCTCTCACATTCGCCAGCCTCCCCACGATCCAGCGGGTGGACCTACAAAGGAACTGGCTCCATCTCTGTGGGGCCTCACAGGCCCCGGGTGAGCCAGCTGCCTCAGGCTGCATTGTCTTTTCCAGCATCCCCACCCTCCGGGCCCTGAACCTGGCGGGCAACGCCATGCAGAGGCTCCCGGCAGGTGCATTCCTGCAAACCCCGCTGGTCACTTTGGACCTCTCGGCAAACCCAGGGTTAGAGGTCATGCCTGGGGCTCTGACTGGACTTGAATCCTCGTTAGAGGTGCTGCAGCTACAGGGGAATGGCCTGGATGCCCTTCATGTTGACCTTCCCCGCTTCACGCGGTTGAAGCAACTCAATCTCTCAGAAAACCAGCTGAGCTGGCTCCCTGCCTGGACCCGGGAGGCAGCCCTTGAGGAGCTGGATCTTCGGAACAACAGTTTCAGCCACCTTGAGAGCCGTGACATGAGTGGCCTGGAGGGGAGCCTCCGGCGCCTCCACCTGGCAGGGAATCCGCTGGCTTGCTGCGGCAACAGCTGGCTGGCAGCTGTGATCCAGCGGGGGAGCGTGGATATCGCCAGCCTCGAGGACTTGACGTGCCGACATTCCAAGGACTTCAGCTCCCAGGAGGACGTCCCCTTCCTCCATGTCCGCCCTGAGGACTGTGAGAAAGAGGGACTCAAGAAAATCAACGTGCTCATCATCCTCATCTTTGCCCTAGTCTTGTCCATCCTCCTCATTGCATTGGCTCTTTTCTGTTGCTTCTGCCGGCAGGAGTTTAACCAGCATTTCAAAGCCTAACCCGCCGAAGTGTTCCCAAGTCCCTGCCGCAGGGTTGTTCTTAGTTCTCGGGAATGGAGATATGTGGCTTCTTTGGGGTCTTACGGACTCAAAGCTGGCAGGAACCTTAGACACCATTTAGTCCAACCCTTCTTTGATAGATGGGGAAACTGAGGCTCCAAGAGGTTAAGGGACTTGGCTGAGGCCACACAGCTAGTAAATACGGGTCTAGATCTCCTGGGCAGTTGGACACTTACTTCCTTTTCCAAATTAGCCATGACCTTTATCCATTCAGCTATCCATCTGCTGACTGTGTTCAGCAAATGTGGGGATCCCTGAGTGTGTTTTTTACCTTTCCTCCCCAAGCAAATCCCTGGGGCCCTTCTCCCACCATAATAAGACCATTTGAAGGGACTGTAGAGGTGATGAAGTTCAATTCTTTCATTCTACAGATAAGTAAACTGAGGCCCAAGGAGGTTACTTGCCCAAGGTTACAGAGATAATAAGGTATAGAGATAGGATTTGAACCCAAGGGCAAACAAGTCCTTTTCCCACTGTAGCACACTACCTCTAGCCTACTTGCGGTCTGGGAAGACCAAAGTCATCTTTAGGAGAAATCTTAAATAAAGTCATCCCAAGTGAAATTATATACCCCTTTAAGACCAGAAAGTCACTTAGGAAAAAACCATTTAGCATTTGTCTCGAAGCAAAATGTTTGTCACAACTTATGTTAATTCTTATAAATCTTACATATGAGAGGGAAGAGAATTCCCCAAACTACATTCTTCTTTGATCTGTAAACTAACACAAATCACCAGCTGAGGTCATTGCTAGATAGTCCAATAGAAGAAGATGATAGAAGGCGCCTCCCCCACCCCGTCAGAAAATATGGACTGCCAGAGACTCTAGGACACAGCATTAGAGATGGGAGGCACTCTGGAAATAGCTAAGACCCAGAGAGAGGGAGTAGCTTGTCCAAGGTCGGAGAGCTGGACTAGGGCTCCTATTTCCTCCCTCCTTGGGCAGGGCTCTTTTCCTTGTAGCCTAGATGAAGGGCTCCCTGTCCTCATCTCCCTCCCAATGGAGGGGTTTCCATTGACCACTAGTCACTTACCCCTTGCCCATACTCCCATAGCCAGTTTGGGGATTCCAGAGCCAGCTTCCCCATTCCCTCGGGCCCTGCCCCCAACATGAATCTACAAGCAAAGCTAAGTGAGGAGGTTGATTGAAGAAAGCTAAATTGTGTGTTCCACAGCCAAATTGGTCCAATGCCTTGCAGGTTAACAAGTATTTTCTATTCATTCTCTTGCTGTATTCAAATAGTCCTGTGAAGAATATACAGAGTTTATTGTTCCCATTTCACATAAGGGGAAACTGAGGCCCATAAAAGGGAAGTGACTGGCCCAAGGCCATTCAGTGTGAGCCAGGACAGAAATTCAAATCCCAGTGCCATTTAGGGGGCAGAAAGTTCTCCAGTGTGACTGAAGCATACACCAAGTGCTTAGGGGGAGTAGTATGAGATAACGTTGGAAAAGTAGCATGGCTCCAGATTATGGAAGGCCTTGAAGGACAGGAATGGAAGGCAAAGTTCAAGAACTTTAGAATTGTCAGGGAAACTAGAAATCATTTAGCCTAAGGATTCTTAACTTGGTCACTGCAGACCCCCAGGGGCCCTGGGAATATCTGTGAACTTGGATAAAATTTTGCATCTTTATTTTCACTAAGTTCTCACTAAAATTTAGCATTTCCAACTCCCTCATTTTAAGAACGAAGGAACTGAGACCAAAAAGTGTACTTTTTCCTTGGTAGCGCCAAGGAACGATTAATTCCAGGTCCTAATTATTCCGGATGAATAAGCTTATATTCAATAAATAAGGATTAAGTGGAGGTAGATTCAGTTTATCAGCTATTTGGGGGTGTTGCACTGTCCTTTTTCTATTGCTAAAATTAAGGGTCAATATAGATTGTCACGCACCCCCATCTGTTGTTTCTTCCCACTCCAGCGTCTACTGCAGTAGCTTAGCTATTGTACCCTTAATTCTTGCCCCTGACAATCAGTAAATCATGGCAGAGTTTTGAGTCAGGGACTTGGGGGGTGAGGGTGGGAATTGCCACTTTCAACAGCTGCCTTGGCCATCTAGGGTGACTCCTATCCTCCAGGCAGGACTAGGAGTTCCAGTGCTGCTGCTGGTGGATGTGCGAGGCCAAGCCAAGTAGAAACTCTTCTGTTCTTACTAAGCTCCCTAAACTGGGGGTGATGGAAATTGGCAGGCATCTGAGTGTCAGGCAGCGTTGGCTGGCTCTGAAAGTAGTTAGGGGCAGCAAGCGGGGCACGGGGGCGGGATTAGAAACATTTGGTGTTCAAGTGGAATGTAGGCAGAGAGCTTGATTTGAAGGGGGAAACGTCTAAACAGTGTTTTCCCCGACCCGTCTCCCTTTCTCTTTCTGTTATAGATGCGACCGTTCCTTTCTTTATGTCTTTCATTACTGTCTCTGTCTCTCTATTTCCTTGTCTCTCTGCATGTATATCTGTCTCTATCTCTTCCTGTCTCCCTTTCTCTCTCTCTTTCTCTCCTTCCATTTCTATATATCTGCCTTTCTTCTATCATTCCCTCTTCATTCTCTCTTCCTTTCCCACCATTCTGACTCTGTCCCTCTCCTCTCTTGGTCTCCTCCTCCTTTCCTCTTCCATCTCCCCTCTTCTCTATCTGCTCCTTCTCCGACTTTCTCATCTTTGTCTTTTCCTTCTTCTTCTTTCTCTGACTCTCTTTCTCCCACTATTTGCCCTCTATCTACAGAACAGCCAATTTGGTCCGACTTCTGGTAACTTGGGCCAGGAGCAAGGGGAGGATGAGTCAAACCATTTATGTGCCATTTCCATTAGAATGGTCCATCCCATACACATAACCTGATTATTGAAATCCACTCTTCATCAGGTGGTAAAGCTCTGAGCTGTAGGTAATTTAAGTGGTTTTTACTTTAGAACCCAGAATCTAAGAACTGGGAGGGAATTTAGAGACAAATGAGTTGAATTCACTCAAAGATGAGTCTCAGAGAATAGCCATTTGCCCAAGATCTCATAGTGAGATAGAGTGGTAGGCTAGAAAAGTCTACGTCTCCTGAATCTCAGCTCAAGGTTGTTTCCTACTTAATAAAGAAGCTTGGAAAGCTGGAATATTCTGAGCTGTCTAGCTCTGGGGAAGATGCCAAGGATCATAAGAACAAAAGAGCAGGTCCTAACGGCAGGATGAGATGGACACACAGTATAGGATCAACTCCCCAACTCAAGAACTTACTATGATACCCTGTAGCCTACAAGAAAGACCCACTGTAATCTAGTGTAAAAGGGAAGGGTCCCTCTCCCAACTCATTGTACCTCATCACAGCTTAGGAGATGTTCATGTCTTAAAAATGTGTTAACATCCTAGGATCCTTTTATAAAATGTGAACACCTTTTGCTGATTGAGTCAGGAAAGGCAACCATTGCTTGAGCTGAAGATTGGCCAAGACCCTACAGGCTTTTAAATGAAGCCTAGAGTTAGTGAGATTCACATAAATGGAGACAGGAGGCAGCAGTCTTTTCACCTCTTTGGTGGGGAAGAGGAGATCTCTCTGCGTTTTTGATTGCCATAGCTAGCTCTTTTTTTCTGCTGCCAGATGTCCCACTTCTTGAAGCTGCTTACTGGCCTCATTGACTACCTCTCTTGTATCCGTGTCTGTCTGGAGAGTGTGCCTCTGTTCTCTGCTGGATATGATTTAGAGGCAGGGGTTACACTCTCCTCTCCTCTGACCCTGGGCTGCCTAGAGCTCTGGATCCGACCCTCTAACTGCTAAATAGGGCAAGCAGCTCTGCTGCTAGACTGACTTTGTGGCATGATGGCAGATGGCAGTAGGAATGGAAGAAAATTCCCTCCTCTTTTCAAGTCTATCAGAGAAAGATCTTCACCCTTTGCAAAAGAATTACTGGGTGTTAGTTAACACCTTGTTAATCCATTAACACTTCACCTCTGGATTCTTATCACAGATGGAGAGGGAAAGAGTGGAATCATATCCTTCCCCCCAACACTGGCCATCGCCCCTGCGCTAGCAGCAGCTTAGTTTTTGGTAACCTTATCACCCTCTACTCCCCTTTCTATGCTCTTTGCTCCAGTCAAACTGGACAACTCACAGTCTTTCAAACAGTTTCTTGCCCGTATGCCTCCGGGTGCCTTATACTCCCTCTAAAGTATCAATAGTCATGTTCTACCATCTTCTTAGTGCTCTGTACAGATCATGGGCCAACCAACATGGGCCATTATCCCCCTTTCCTATACTGTAAGTTTTCTGAGGGCAGTTGGCACATGTACTGGGGATGATCCCCAGCCCTCACTAAACCATCTGGTCAGTAGGAGTGATGGGCAGCGCATTTAAAGGGCTGGGATGTAATAGATGTAAGCTTATGATTCCCTTACTTGTAATTCCTCTTTTTTAGGAAATAATCAGAATTTCCATGCCCACCACAAGGGGCCAGCTTAGAATAGACACATGGTGAACCAGTCAGTAGCCTTGGACATGTAGGGCATGATGGGTTCATTCATGTCCAATATTAGGTTCCAAAATGTCAGTCGTCCATTTTAGAAGTCACCCTGAGCCATCTGTCTGTACTAAGATTAGAATTTAGGGGAAAAAATGAGATAGAGATATGACATTCGATAGACATGATTTAACCACGAATAAAGTGTGATTGAACATCAAAAATGGGAAGTAAATGACAGAAATGACATTGAGGCTGATTCTAATATTTTCATTTCAGAAGATAAACCAATGTAAATTAATTGCCATAACAAGGAGACCCAGAGAGCCCAGAAAGCGTTCCACTTGTACCCTTCAGCTGTAGTTAAAAAGAAAAGCCTCCAGCGCCTTTGGAGGGCCCTGTTTGTTCAACCTTTGGGAGAACATGAATGTGAATCCTACAGGAAGGGGCAGGCATGAATGGGTTGGGAAGGCCCTAATGAATGAGATGACGGATCCATTTGAGTATTTGAGAGAGTCTTTGGTATCCTCTGCCTGGAATGCCTTTTCTCCCAATATTTGCCTGTTGAAATCCTCCCATTGTTATAATGCTCTGCTTGGTTACCTCACCTGCCCTGAAGCTTTTCCTGATTCCGCATCCCCCCACCCCTTCAGCAGGCGGCAGTGATCTCTTTTTCCTCAGGTCCCCCACAGCCTGGTGTCTGCCCCTGGAGCCCCCAGATGTGAGTTACCTAAGAGCAAGACGTTATTTTTATCAGTGTCCCCAGACACTTGTACCGTCCAGCACAAGGCCCTACACACAGCAGGTGCTCAGCAAATATTGAGTTGTACTGAGAAGAGACTCAGGTCTCCCCAGAGGGGAATCAAGGCAGCAAGCCCAGAATTCCTCCCCTGTTGCCTGGTCTATGCTGTCTCTTCAGATGTAAACACTACAAGATGCTGCTGTATACCTATATGATAGACCTATAAGAATTTTGTATGCGCTGTATAGAGAAACTATGTGAATATATTAAAAGATAATTTTGGAATAACCCATCGGCCTGCTGACTTTCTGTTTGCTACAAGAAAGAGTAAGTGTTGTGTCTCAGCCGACGCAAATTGTAAAAGGGAGTGGGGGAAGGGGGAGAGGCGGGTATGTTTTGTCGGTACATTGGACCAGATGTCTTCTTATCTTCCCTCTGAGTCTCTGGTGCTAGAATCTAAGATTCTAGGACTCTGTAAGAGAGGGATGATGATATACAGGAAAGAGAAAGTTGGCCTCAGATTCAAGAAATATGGGTTCAAATGTTGCTCCCAACATATCCTGGCTGTGTGACCCTAAGCAAATCACTTAACCTCTTGGTGTCCCAGGCACCTGACCAAGACAACAAGTTGCCTATCTGTTGAAAATGTTTTGGTGAAGGGAGTTTCTTCATTGGGAGTTCTCTACACCAATAAATAGGGCAGCTGGGTGGCACAGTGGATAGAGCACTGGGGCTAGAGTGAGGAAGACCTGAGTTCAAATCCAGCCTCAGCCACTTCCTAGCTGTGTGACACTGGGCAAGCCACTTAACCCTGTTTGCCTCAGTTTCCTCATCTGTAAAAAGAGTTGGAGAAGAAAATGGCAAACTACTCCAGTATCTTTGCCAAAAAAACCCAAAATGGGGTCATGAAGTATCAGACACAACTGTAAATGATTCAACAACACAGAACACCTGCCATTTAATAGCTATATAAAGTTGGGCAAGTTGCTTAAATTTTACGGGTTCCCTCGTCTATAAAATGAGAGGGTAGGACTAGATGACTAATAAAGTGCCTTCTAGCTCTACGACTATGAACAACTGACATTTATATAATGACAAACAACATATAATTTATATAATATAATTATATACTAAGTGACATTTATATAACGTTTTTAAATTTGCCAAACATTTTACATATATTGTCTTATTTGAGCCTCGTGACAATCCTGAGAAGTAGGCTGTTACTCTGCCCCTTCTACAGACGAGCAAACTTGAGGCTCAGAGTGGTTGAGTGATTTGCTTAGACTTAGAGTCACACAGCATAAGGGCAGAATCTGAACTAGGCTTTCCTGATTCCAAGTCCATCATGCTAATCTACTGTGCCATGTTGCCTCCCAAGAGATCATCATATCTAAACTTTGTAAATAAGAAAACAGACCTGGAGAGGGAAAGTGATTTGTGCAAGGTTACCCAGATAACTAGCATTAGGATTCAAACCCAGGTCTTTGACTGTACCTCCACCACACTGTCTCCTGCCCTAAGGGTTCAGATTCCTCTTCCTCAATTGGCCTGAGACAAGGAACGGGACAAGTTGATGCAGCCCAGGGGTCATCCCAATTTCATTCAAGTCTAGCCCCAGATTCATTCTTCGGGGGAAACTGAGAGGTCCCTGCCGCATGTTCCCCACCCCCATCCTCCTACCCCCGTCCTCATACAAAAGGGAGCCATCTTGTCTAATCCTCTCACTTTCCAGATGCAGAAACCAAGGCCCAGAAATGGAAAAGCTCTTGTCAAAGACAGCACAGCTGGCCAGCAATAAAACGTCAACTGTATTTGTCAGTCCTTTGACTTTCACCCCAAGATTCCTGGACAGGCATTGGGAGTTCCAGCTCTGGTTCTGCATCTGTCTTTCTTGTTCTATGCTCTAAGTTCTCCCAGTTCTGACATTCTGTGCTTTAAGAGCTCTTTCAGCTCTGACATTCTGGGCTTTAAGGTTCCTTCCTGTTTTAAAATCTTTGATTCTAAGAGTTCTTCCTGCTCTAACATTCTGTGATTTAAGGTCCCTTTCACTTCTCCCATTCTGTATTCCAACATTCTGTCCTGCTCTAACATCCTCAGTCCTAAACTCCCTTCCTGCTCTAACATCCTCAGTTCTAAGTTCCCCTCCTACTTTAACATCCTCTGTTTTCAGTTCTCCTGTTCTAATATCTTCTGTTCTAAATTTCCTTCCTGCTCTAATATCCTCTGTTCTCAGATCTCCTCCTACGCTAACATCCTCAGTTCTAAGTTCCTTTCCTGCTTTAAGACACTCTGTTCTAAGCTCCCCTTTAACTCTGACAGATCTCTAATAATATCCTTTTTCCACCTTCTTCTGCACAATTCTTTGTTGATCAGATGTTGCATCTTGCACAAACTCACTATGCACATTTCCACTGCCTACAACTTTAATT